CATGTACATGTACATTCACTTAATTAGAATAACTTACTTAATAGTAGATACCATATTGATAATAAATCTCAAAATATCTAGAAATAATTTTCCCATTCCTTTAATTAGGTCTCTAAAATACGGCCCTAAAATTAAGATAGTAATTATGGTACATGCATTGTGGTAGCAATTACTGACCAATCAATTGCTGTACGTGAATACACCTATTAACTAATAACTGGTGGAGTCCTTCTAATATGGTAGATAGAGTATTGTACAGTACATCAGTGACAAGAATGGAATGAGACTGTTTAGAATAAACACTAAAAAGGGACAGATACGATAAGTATTTCAGACATAATTAATACTTTACAATGCAATAAAACCAGTCATTTTTAAAATTAATAGCAACTTACTCAGCTAATATTTCAATATTTTTTCTTATGCTGCTCAATATTGCCATTGAAAAAATTGAGATGCCTCTGAAGTGATAAACCATTAACAGTAATAATATTCCTATTACAATTATACAATTATTGATTAATAAAGATTAAATTAAATGCCATGCCTTTCCATATAATTTTCAAATTCTTTTCAGAAGTTGAAGATAACTGACGATACTCCAGAGATGTGTAAAACTGCTGGCCCTAACAAAAATAATAACAATTAAATTCTCTTCCACTCTCTCCCTTTCTCTTTTATTGTATCTTCTTAACATAAAAAGCTGGAAACTAATAAAGAACTTTACTTTTAATCAATTTACAATGTTTGCTTGCAAAATTATAATTCCCAAACATATACTCATACAACATGGTAAAAGATAGCTGAATGCTTTAAAATTAAATTCATACAAAATGATTTTTGGCTATATCAGTTAAAATCTAATTCCTCTAAAATTTCTAGTCATAATCAGGTACTTACCACTTCAATGATATCCTCTTGATCACAAGAATGACAAAGAGTCAGAAAGACTGATATCATATTGCTAAGACCTTCACTGGACAATTCTAATACTTTCTTACGTGAAATCTTTGAATAAATCCTAAAAATTAGAATAAGAATAATTATAATAATACATGTTTCTTGACTACATGTACATGTAATTAAAGGTACCTGGTTTTGAGCTGTCTCCATATCTGGCTGCCGTCACTTAAACACTTGGACAACAAATTAAGAAATAATTCAAAACTAGTTCCACAGAGAACTGAACTAAAGAGGAAGAGTGAGTATATTAAAACTCTTTTATATTATTGTTTTGTAACACAATAATAATGACAAAGTACAAAAGTATACCAAGGACAAGCTATAAACCATGGGCTTTCTAAAAAATGCCTCCAAAGTTACTCCCAATTCTTATTACATTTTCTGATACATATTAATGTTCTTCTGCTATGTAGAAGTTTGAGCCGATTCCGAGAAAAAAATTCTGGAGTTACGACCTTTTAAAAAACAGGCCAATTTCTGAATAATACCCTGTTCTATACTTACAACTCCCCTTGTATTGGTACATGGCAATCCGTTTCTAAGGGCATTCCATGGCCTAAAACAATCAGAGCAATTTAAATTCCTGCATATTCTTACTCAAAAAGAGGAATGGGCCCCAGAGTGCCTCCAGAACAATTTATTAGATTTATGAATAGTCAATAATTATCACTTCTTATATTGATATTAATGATATTAATAATGATTGACAATAACAATTAATAATAAAAATTGATATCAAAATACATGAATTTAATTTTTATGCATTATTTACGGATAAATTACTGATACAGTAACTTATCGGCTGGAACAGTACTAACAATTTCAAGAGATGGTGTGCCTATGGTTTTTTCCTAAAATTGACTCCAAAATTATTCACCATTTTAATAACATTTTCTGATACATGTTGATGTCCTTATGCTATGTAGAAGTTTGAGTAAATTTTAATGAGAATTTGTTGAGTTATTGACATGTTAAAGACAATATTGTGAACAATAATACTTATTGTTAAATAATTCAATTTCTATATGAAACCAAGCCCTGGCTTCCCCACGTGTACTACCAATCAATCCACGTGCAGTCTTGCAAGGATTGCCAGCCTACTAATCTTAGCCTGAGCTGAGCTCACTCAGTAATCAGCATACTGTGCTGTGACCTTTTTTGTGTAGGTTACACTTATTTGTATTCTTACT